AATAAGGATATCACCAGAAGCTCTATATTTATCCCTTGAAATTTTAAAAGTTTTTACAATTTCATTAGTCTTATCTAGCGTTCTCAATAAACCTTTGACTATTAAACTACCCAAATTATTAATTGTGGAAGCCTTGTCAAAACCAGACATTCGATTAGAGATTTCATTGTCTATATTATATATATATATAACTGAGCAAATTTTGGCCTATGACTTACCATAAAAAGTAAAGATCCTATCTTATGATGATTTTGTCTATTTATTTTAAATATATACAGACCAGGTGTATTGTTTACATTGTTGTCTACTTTGGCCCTCATAGAAGAAAACTAAAACATAGAATTATATATCCTAATATTACCTCTAAATTGAACAAACCTCGTACCCCCACCATAATCAAGCAATTGATCTAGAAAATGAAGTGTTAGTTTAAATAAAGGTAAACTAATAGTTCCTTATTAACAACAAAGTGAAAAAGTAGGAGAACGTGTATCTTTTTATACATCAAATCTCTTTTCATACCACATCAAAGCACCACAAAAAGGACATATGCAACTTAGAGCACCAAAGTTAAATGATGAATTGTATCTTCCTATTATGTTTAAGAACATAAAAATTTGTAGTTACAATAAGAACAAAATGAAAAAAAAAAACACAAAAAGTACCTCAAGAACCTAATCAACTTACTAATATGGTTAGTATTGGTTTATAGACTACGTGTTTCACTAATCTTTCATTTTTTATAAGATTATAAATTTAGTCTATCAATAAAACCTTTAAATTTATTAAGAGGAGTTAGGGGAATCAAACAAATTTAGTTTCTCAAACAATCAATTAGTTAAAGAAGAATGGAAATAGTAAGTATTTATTAAGGGTTAACAAAGTTTGTCATCAATTTTTGCAACGTTTGTTTATACAGAAGCAGTAATAACCTCATGAAAAACTTCTTGTCTATCAACCGTATTAGAATGTAGATTATACCTAGGCTAATTCATAGTGTGTATTCCCTCATATGATCAATTTGACCTATACAATAAAAAAACAGTTTAATCTATTTACCCTTAGTCTTTTTACTCTCCTAAGCCTATTTTGCCTTAAATGTTTAGTAGTATCCATAACATAGAAAAGCAAAACACAAAAGGTTCAAACATAAATAAGTCATCTATTGCATATTTAAGAATAATTGCACTTGCAACAAAAAAAAAGTAAAGACAATAGCGTGAAAATAATATAACTTATAACCTAAAAATGTGTAAGATTCAAATTTGGATTCACAACCAATAATAAAATTCAAACTTAAACATAGATTGAATATATATAGTATAAAATATAAACAACTTAAAATTGAAAGCAATAATATCAAAAAAATAGTTAAAGTAAAAATTAAAACTGTCACCTATTAAAACTGAAGTTGTTTGGCACACCAATAAAGAAGAGCTACACAGAAATCATGAAAGCAAGTAATCACCAAAAAAAAAAAAACCTTGACAACCAAAAGTTAACATGTCATAAAAGGAAAAAGTAATGCCAAAAACGTATTATCATTTTACACCAAGAAGCACATCAACAACAAATTAAACAAATCAAAATTTATAAACCAATTATAAGAAAGAATAAAAAAACTGAAATTAAGATTGATAAAAAACTAAAAGAAAATTCTATAGAGCATGCCACAGAACGTACAATAGTGTTAAAAATAAAGACTACAATAAACAATTATGTAAAAATAAAATCATAAAATATACATTGAAAAAACAATACAAAAATATAATTAAAAAAGCATCATGTTTGAAAAAAAACTAAAATAAAAAGAGAAAACTTAAAATCTAAGCAATCAATAATAAGTAAAAATGTCAAATTATTAAAGAATTACTAACAATCTTTCATGAACAATAAAAAAGATGAAAAAAAAAAAAAAGAACAACAAAATGACAAGCAACCAATAGAAGAAGAAAAACAATGACCTGACAAAAAAAACAAGGATAAACAAAAAAAATCAACAACATAAGAAACCTCTAGAATGACTACATACATAACTTGATAAAAAGATATATAGATATTCGAGCCTTTCACATTACATAACTAAACTGTAATAGTTTTCTATTGAAGTATGACCTAAACTAATATTAAACTAACTTTAATATCCCTTAACGACATAAACCAAATGTAAAAATTAAATTGGCCTTAACCTAAGTCAATTGCAACATAGGCTAAGGTTCAAATTACTTGACACTTATCTTTTTCACACGAACCTCAAATAACGAAATTTAATTCTATTTATACAAGAAAAAACAAAAGTAAGCAAACATAGATGATTAAATAAATATACACATCTATGTTATTAGTATAATTGCTTATATATAAAAGGCATATCTATAACTAATATATTTAAACAATTTATATTATTTTAACATCAAAACTAATCATGTACCTAAATGTAAAATCATGACAAGAGATTTTTTTTCCTTCTTGGTCTTTGAATAGAGTTCTAAAATATGTGCAGTAAAAACTTAGATGGAATCTCAAATTTATAAAATTTGATGTTGCCTTAATGGGTTTTCCATTACACCCTAAATTGCTATCTGTTCATTAGCTATTAAAACAACTCCAAAATACTTTGAAATTGTCACCTTTTTGGTAAAAAACCCATCTTCTCACACTCTTACTTTTTGGTTTATAATCCATCTCCCTACACTATTAAATATGGGCGAAAGTAACATAAAAAAATGTTCAACATTTCTTATCAACATATAGAACTTTCTACTATTTATAAAGAGGAAATTTTATAGGCTAAAAAAGGGAAAAGAAGTAAAGACCACAAATTTTAAGTTGCAAGAAGAAGAAATTAGGAGTTTTAATGTTATGATGATTGAAAAAAAATCAAAAGAGACTTTTATTTTGATGGAACTTACAAAAGAATTTTTTTGACATTTACTGACAAAAACCAAAGCAACAAGAAGTCAAAAGTTTTAAACAAAAACCAAAAAGCTAAAAGTAAGTCAAAAACTTTATTGTTTATGTTAAAAAAAATAGATGTTAATCAATTAATAATGGACAAATGTCAATGTAATGTTCAATTGAAAGAGGTTACTTTAAATATATTAGTTATAGATTTGATTTTTTATATTTTATGATGATTTATTCTCATGTAACATTTTTTCTTACCTTTTTTTTTTAAGGATATAATTATTGTTGAAATTCATTAATAAAAATGTATAAAATGTTTAATTTTTTGGAAGAAAACTTAAAAGGAATGTATCAAAAAAAAAATCTCTCACATGTAAATAGATATTCAATTAAATAAGAAATGATTTAATATTACCTATGAGAAATGGGATTGCTAATTTTTTCCAAAGCAAAAATTTTAAGTATATATAATTCACTTCTAATTTTCTAATTTAAACAAAATTCTCTCTTTTTTTTTTTTTTAATTTTCTTTATCAATAAAAAAAAGTTTTTTACGTTATGTTTGGATAAACATTAGTAAAAAAAATGAAATGAAAGTAAAGCAAAGGAAAGAGGTTTTTAGAGGAAAGGTTATATGCACTTCTTGTTTGAGTAACTAAAATTAATAGAGGAAAGAAATGAAAAAAATCCTAACAATTATTATTTGGTTAAAGAGTGAAAAGAAAAAGAAAGGATTAATCATTTTTTTTCTAATTATACTCTTTTTAAATAATATATTTATTTATTATGTGAATAATTTAGAAATTAATTGTTTAAGTAAAAAAGAAAGAAACAATTCAATAAAAGAGGTGGATTTTTATTAATCTATAAAAGAATGTAAGTTTGGAATTATTTTCATATATATATATTTTTAAATTAATTCTAATTTAAATATGTCTTAGTAAATAAAATTAATTATAAACTTATATTATTATATTCTTAAAATTTTAACAAGTTTCATTAATATAAATATAATTTCTTTAATTATATGTGTTTTTATATGTACATTTTTTCTTTTCTTTTTTTTTCAAATTTGTGGAATAGTAATAAAATATAAAAAAAAGATTTCAATAAAATTTTTTAAAAAAAATATAAAGGATATAAGAAAGCAAAGTAACTAGAGGAATGAGTTTAAGCGTGATAAAAAAATAAATATTAATATCACTTGTTAAGCTTATAATGTATTCTTTAAAAATTAAAAAATACAACAATGACAAAAATGTTATTTTATATTTTAAAAAATTTTAGCTGTTTCCTTAGCTTATCTCTCAATTTATGGTAATTGAAAAATGAAATATTTGAGGGAAAGAAAGGATGCTCAATTCCTCTTTTTCTTTTTAATTTTAAAATAAATAATATTCTAATAAGAGAAAAGTTTTACCGACCAATGTAACCATTCCTCATTTTTTAAAAAATCATTGGTTTAAAGTAATTATTCCATTAAATTTGGATAGGAAAACAAGACATTAATAAGCTTTAGATTTGCTTAACCCAACTTGACTCAAAATATAAGCCTAATTTGCTATTTAAGCTTGACCTTAAATGAAAATTAGTTGTTCGAGTCTGTTCAGATTTTTTTTACAAATATAAAATAAAAATAAATTCTATAATGAATATCAATTATAACAAAAAAAACCAACAAAATAAAATCTAAAAAGGATCTTTATTAATCTAATTTGATATTTAGATGTGATAAAATACGCAATGTGTAAACATGTAATTTTTTATTATCTATTTATTTATTTATTTATGTAATATAATTATAAATATAAAATATATAACAATAGGGTCGAGAGAGGAATAAGCCTTACAAGTTGTGTGAGGCTGAGTTTGTTTTCTAAACAGGCTTTAACATTTTAGGCGAGTAGAGCCCGATCTTTGAATAAAGATGTTTTTTTAAATGCACAAAGTGTCATGTCTGATATAGACGAAAAAACGTATGATTGGGCTCAAAGATAGTGTGAAGCCCATATCACAAGACTTCTTTGGATTGAAATTTTGGGTGTAATCCGATTCCTAAAGCCTAGTAATTTGATTTCTATTTCCAACCCAATAGGATTCTCATCTAAAGGGTTCCCTCATTCATCTTTTACCCTCTTGGCCTCCGCCACCGGCGAGAAGAAGCAAAACCCAAAAGGGATGTTAAGTTCTTCCATCCGCACATTGCGGAGGTTAAAGTGTTGTTGTAATAAGTCGTCGTCTTTGCTGTTGTCGTTGACAAAAGATTGTTGTGTCAATAATCCCAAAGCCCCTCCTTGCAACACTGAAAGCAGCAGTTTTAGCAAATTTTGTTTTGGTGAGAGACGACAGAGCAGCCTTCAGCGGTGGCATGTGGTTAATAGCAGACGCTCTCTTCATACAGAAACCGATGCATATTTGGCAACAGAGCTGGCATTGGACTCTGTGGTCAAGATCTTCACGGTTAGCAGCAGCCCCAACTATTTCCTCCCATGGCAGAATAAGTCACAACGCGAAACCATGGGCTCAGGTCATTTTTCTATTCTGTGCACTCAATTCTCCATTTAGTTTTGTTTTTCTTACCAGAATTGTTTCATAACTGTAGGATTTGTTATTCCGGGAAAAAAGATTCTCACAAATGCTCATGTGGTGGCTGATCATACATTTGTTCTTGTTAGAAAACATGGCTCCCCCACTAAATATAGAGCGGAGGTTCAAGCTGTGGGTCATGAATGTGACTTAGCCATTCTTGTTGTTGAAAGCCAAGAGTTCTGGGAGGGTATGAATTTCTTGGAGTTTGGAGATATTCCATTTCTGCAAGAAGCTGTTTCTGTTGTTGGATATCCTCAAGGTGACCATACAAAAATCACATCCACCCTTTTTGATTTCCTAATATAATACCACTAGTTTTCTCATTCTTTGCTTGTTTGAGTTACGTGAAGCTACGATGGCTCTTTTCATTTCTCAGAGAGGACCATCTAATTGATAGTTGGATGCTATCTAAATGTGTTCCATTTGAACTAGGTGATTAACACTATATTTCGCAAAGTAAAACATCCAGGCAACTACCAAAGAAACTTCAGTATCTATATTGATCACAAATCACTTTTGATTGCTCACTAATTGTTAGCATAATATCCTATCTTGCCTTTTTTTAATTGTTTTCATTTTGTTAGACTTTATCGGAAGTCTTGACATCACCATGCTCTAATTTGAAGAATCACTCAATTAAGTCCCTTTTGTGCTAATGTCATGGCCTCAAGGATTATGATTATTATTATTAAATTTGAGTGTAAGGTATTAGGCTTTGAAGCGTTTCTTGTGGACAAATAATGGGATGTTGAACTTTCATTTAGGAATTAATTAATGTTTTAGTTTTATATGTCATTCTCCCCTTGCCTTGATGCAGGAGGGGACAACATTTCTGTTACTAAAGGGGTTGTTTCTAGAGTTGAGCCTACACAGTATGTACATGGTGCTACCCAGCTGATGGCGATACAGATAGATGCAGCTATAAACCCAGGGAATAGTGGAGGCCCAGCAATTATGGGAAATAAAGTCGCTGGTGTAGCTTTCCAAAACCTTTCAGGTGCTGAGAATATTGGGTGAGTTGTGTGTTTCCTTTCTTTGTAAGTATCATCTTGGTTATGCATTATCTAACGTCAATCGTTTAATTCTTATTGGTGATAGAACTTTTCTTTAGTTAGGGTTTCTGCAAATTTTCACTATATATGGTGGGGTTACTGGTACTTGCATTCCTCATTGTTGTTGTTCTGATTTCCACTCAAATAGAATAATAGCACATCATGAATAATCCAACTATTAATCCTCATGTGATGCTAAGAATGTTTTAAACATTTAGTTTGTAATTTAAATTGTTGCCTGCATGTTTGTTTTCTCCTTTTCTACGTGAGTCTACTCAATTAAGAAATCACTGCCCCGGCCATGCACCATGCATGTTGAGATCTTCTTAACTGTAGATGAATGTAACCTCTACCAACAAAAAATAAACAAAAGAATGGTAGAAGAAGAACACGTCTTTCTTTATTTTATTTTATTTTATTTTTTTAAAAGAAAATCCATTTAAGATTTATTAAATGCTAGACATTTTGGCAATAATTATGATAAGGAAGCTTTTAAAAGATATTATATTCAAAAGAGTGCTTTGAGAATTCAAAGACTATGTTATGATGTTTCAATAATGAAATATGATTTATTGTAGAATTGTGCTATTTAAAGTTAATAAACAAGGGTGTTATTTAGCATATATTATCTGAAATGGGAACAACTTGCATAAACATAAGTTCAAAGCTAAGCCACACATGTCTGGACTAAACATAATTGAAACTTAAATTAACTTTTTTTCCATTGAAAAGCATTTAATGGACTATTCTGTCTAAGTATTTGCTTTAATTGTTTCTTTTTTTGTCATGATATGCAGCTATATAATTCCTGTTCCTGTAATAAAGCATTTTATAGCTGGTATAGAGGAAAGAGGAAAATATATGGGATTCTGCTCTATGGGTCTCTCATGCCAGCCTACAGAAAATGTCCAACTTCGTAACTACTTAAAAATGCAACATCAGATGACTGGTGTTCTTGTGAGCAAAATTAATCCTTTGTCTGATGCGCACAGAGTCCTAAAAAAGGATGATATCCTCCTTGAATTTGATGGTGTGCCAATAGCAAATGATGGAACTAGTACTTGCTTTATACTCTTTACTCTTTCTTTTTTTCTTTCCTTAACTTCAAATGAGATTCATAATAAAATAATCATATGCATTTTCCTAATAAAATAATTTGACACCCATGTATAGATAGTGTTTGGACCTTTTTCTTAATGATGCTTATTTTCCTTCCATACCACATGACTGCATTTATCCTCAATTTCTTTAAATAAGGCACCAATCCTTGTGACTATAAGGAGAAAAATTGTTTAGTTTCATGAAAATGAGATGCTCAAGGATAGAAATTCCCTTTGCTTTTTGTTTTGGATACTATATTGGTATATTGGTAATCGTGTTGGTTTTCATAATTATCCTCTATATCTGTAATTTACATGCATTGCAGTTCCTTTCCGAAACAGGGAGCGGATAACATTTGATCATTTGGTGTCTATGAAGAAACCCAATGAAGTTGCTCGGGTTAAAGTCTTGAGAAATGGAGAAGAGCATGCATTCACCATCACCGTTCAACCTGTGAGTAATCGTTCTAAACATTTATTAAATTCAATAATATCTGATCTATGCTAAAACCTAGTGAAACTGGATTGGGAATCGTGAAGAGCATGAGAGTTCATCGATTTTGCCACCTGTAATGATCAACATGTGACAATTTTTTTCTCCTTATTTGTTAGAAAAACAAATAACAGTAGTTTGAAATTTTGGATTTATTCTATGTTAGTTCATTACAAGAATAATGCTGATAAATAGTAGTCTAGATTATTAAATTAGAACTCTAAGCTAAACAGATCATTGGCTTAACGAAGTTACATGCATAATTTATATGTATATATATATATAAGTCTACAACGGTTTTAAATTTCTGTATGTGTCTGGTGGTTTAATCCATATCTGAAATTGGGCTCCAAAATTTATGTGATTTGGATCCTTCATTAATTTGTTAGAGTACTCATATTAATATAAAGAACATGACAAATGCTGTTGAAATATTATCTGGTGCAGATGTGGTGCACATATGTCTGATATGTGTCATAAAATAATTGGATCTTAACTTTAGGGTCATGCTTATTGGTCAAGAAAAAATATTATTAGAGAAAAGGACCCCAAGAGAGAACTGTACCAAGGGAAAATTGTTTTCTTTATTTGTCATCAACCAAAAACACATTAAAAAAACTCAAGTTCAAGGCTTTTTCTTTATGTTCTATTCAGTTTTCATCATTAATGTCAACCATTCACAAACGCGAGTTTTGTTCCTCAAGCAAAAGACAAAACCAAACCAAGCTTCAACAAACATTACCCTTATTCAACAAAATTTGATTACAAATTCTGAAAAAAAAAAAAAAAAACCCATGGTTATGAATAAAAGCATCATGTTTGAGTCCAAGCTCATCACTATCATCATCAAATACCCAAGCACAAAACACCATAATAGTTGGGGAATGAAATTCACCAAAAAACCATCACTTTGCTGCTGATTTAAGCTTGAAAATACAGAATGCTCCCTATGTTTTCATTGACCAGCTTGCAAAAAATGTAGAAGATGCTACAAATGTAGACAAATTAAGAAAATTCAAAGCGATAAGCAATGAATGTATTAGAGGTTTTGCTGGATTCTTCAAACTTTAGCTTGATAGTTTGACATTATATTTGATACCTGAGGAATTAGAAATAATTCGGGCTGAGAGCTAGATGTCGGTTATGGAAATGAGGCTTTTTTTTTTTATAAGAAGGTACAGTAAAGAATAATAGATACAGATGTGGAATAGAATAGAAGAAACTATTGATGAATAAAAATCATGTTGAAATTTGTTTTTCAGAAGATTTTACTTTTCAAGCTCTCAATAATTTGCAATCTGCATCGAAGTTATAGGCTCATTATTTGCCCAGAAAACATATATTATAGCTGTTAATTGAGCCTTAGTTAGAACATAACTGAAGGTGAAACACTCTAATCAATGTTTTGGTAGAAACTGGCTGGAGTCCCTAGACATTTGTAAGATTATGATAAATTCCATGGTAGAAGACTGTGGATAGTATGGCCAAATATAGCTTTTACAACCAAGGAAATTGGAGAGCCATCATGTTCCTCCACATGACATTGTCGTGTTGTTGCATGCTGATACCTGTAACACCTCCCTGCAAAACCCCAGATCAAAAGGAACAGAAAAAGGCATAAAATTGTGTGCTGCAATTTGTTTTCTCCTGTTGTACACCTAAAACTGAAACCATAAATACCTGTCCTAATGAACAAATGATCTAATGTCTACTCACGAACCATGTCTACAAAGCAAGGGAATCTGTATTCATTGCCTGAGGTGAACGCTTAAATGGATTCTGATTCTTGTGCCAAAAAAGGTTTCTTGTCAGCACAGGCTTTTCTGTTTACTCAAGCTAATATGATGCTTGTAGATTCTTGCTGCCTTTTGATGATTTTTTGTTTATTTTTCCCCAGCGCCCTGACATCTTTGAAGTAACTTTAATGTTTCAATTTGTTACTGATGCTTCTTGACTTCTATAATAATAATAATAATAATAACTTTTATTTTTGAATTATTGATTTATTAGTTTTGGTTGATCTTACAGTTGCAGCCGCTGGTTCCAGTTCATCAGTTTGATAAACTTCCTAGTTATTACATTTTTGCTGGTCTGGTCTTTGTTCCACTAACCCAGCCATACCTACATGAGCATGGGGAAGACTGGTATAATACTTCACCCCGTCGACTCTGTGAACGTGCTCTAAGGGAGCTGCCTAAAAAAGCCGGGGAGCAACTTGTAATCTTGTCTCAGGTTTGAACTATAGACGTCTTTGACATCATTAGTGCATGATAGTTTTTTTAAGAAGAAAACTTCGTAGTTTGTTAATGTCAGTTCCAAGGACAAGCGAAATGTGTCCTAGATGAATTGATATAGAAAGAAGCTTCCATGGTTTTGGCCAATGTTTTTAACTATGAAATCTTGGATGTTACTGTTCTTTTCTCATTATCTTAGGGAATATAATTTGTTTTCTATAGACAGCCAGTTGTTAAACTCCACAAGCTTTGTTAAAAAACTAACATATGTACTTTTTTTTGGCAAATACGTGTGTACCTTTTTTAGTATAATATTTTTTTGTTTGTTTAATCTACCCTATAGTGGTATGTTACAACCCTCTATCCTCTTTGATGGAGTCTAAAAACTCAAACGGCAATGTAAGAGATAAGTTTTTTTTTTCAACAAACATTAGCTGAATTTTGAAATTTTGGAATACTTCTTTCTTGAATATTTCCATATGCACTTTCGTTTATCATATTAATTGATAAATTTTTAAACTATAACCTAATGGGTATGTGGTAACCCTTTAACCACTCATATGGCATAATAATCCAGGGTTTAAATACAAAACCGAAGGATTTTCTATGTACTTCACATTCATGACAAGAAGTTATCTGGTTCAGGTTTTGATGGATGATGTCAATGCAGGCTATGAGCGTCTTGCAGAATTACAGGTGCTTTCTTATTTTCCTTTGGTCGGATCATCTTTGTTTCATATCACTGTTTTCTGCTTCCAACAAACCAAATAATTAGCTTGCCTCTGTGTGTGCTTGTGATTTTTTGGGGGGAGGAGGGGTGGGGATGGATGGGACCAGGTGGCTAACAAAGCATTATTGGAGGGCTATCCAGCCTGTAGCAACCCTCATTTCTTGCAGTTAAAGGAGCCAGCTATCTTATCAGAAGCATTTTAGCAACTAGGCTATTAATGTTCATTCACGAAATGTTGCTATGCATCATATGAATCGGAAAATCACAAGGCAAAATGCTGTTGCTCTTATAAATTTCATGTCAGGTCAGACAGTTATAATTAAAAATTGTATAACTGTTTGCATTCAGAGCAAAATATTTGACTAAATCAAGCCCAACTCATGTATAAAACAGCTAGGAGATTAGAGTTATAGCAATGTTCAAATTTCAATTTTTGAGGAAGGAAAAAAATTGAACAAAGAGAAAAGATCCTTACGCTTCACTTCTAGTGCTCCGTGATTGCATAAAAAAGCCCTTGAATCAGTTCATTTGCATTGTGCATCAATTCTGATGCTGGGCAAATACTGGTTGGAAATTCAGGATCAGATGTCTGTTTGCATAGCAATTTGTTAGTTACGGATGATAAATGCAATCATGGTTGTTAGTTCATCCTCTTAACTTAATGGTTGCACTAATGCCATTATGATTTTGCTCTCTAAAACTGGAGTATGTAATTATGTATTCATTCTTATAGTATATATTCATGGTTAATTGTCTTCTGAGCAAAAAATTAAACTACGCGGCGGACAGGTCAAGAAAGTCAATGGAATTGAAATTGAAAATTTAAAGCACTTGTGCAAGCTTGTGGAAAACTGTAGCAGAGAGAGCTTGAGGATTGATTTGGATGATGATAGGGTAGTAGCATTAAACTATGAATCGGCCAGCATTGCTACTTCCAGAATTCTAGAACGCCATAGAATACCATCTCGAATGTCCATCGACCTTGTAAGTGAACAGAACAACTCGGAAATTGATTCTGCCTGCTCGATTGGATCTTTTGTCTGACTTGGTGATCGGACGACATTAAATTGAGTTGCTTCAAAAATTTTGGTTTTGTAATTCATTTGTTGCTAATTTTGTTGCAAAAACAGGGTAGGTATTCTATTTCAACATTTATGGACTATAGTTGGGTTTCAGTTATAGCTTAAAACAGCTACTAGGATTGCAACTTTCTCCCGGAAGAAATGCAGGAATTCAGACTGAAAAATTTCTGGGTTATTATTCCTTCTTAAGCAAATGAAGCCTCTGGTTTTATTTAGGCACGTTTGGAATTTTTATCTATTTTATGCTTTTGTTGGTTGATCCAGTCAAGCTTAGCTTGGAGTTTGATAAAAATGGCCTCTTTGCTAGCGGTGATAGCAGTTGGGATCAGATTGGGATTGATTTTTCAAATTATGCATAAAATTATGAATTTTTAAATTTTGCTTTGAATTCAAACCAATTTTTATACATCCAATTTGAATTGAATTTGAATTGAATTTTATTAGTTTGATTCAGTTTATTAGTTTTTTAAATTAAATTTTTTAATTTTTATATATTATTTTTATATAATTTTTAATATATTTAAATAAATTTAGATATAAAATAATTATTTTTATTTTATAAAAATTTAAAATATTTTTAAAAATTAATAAAAATATGTAATTCAAGTCAATTTTTTTAAATTTTTTATTTTTTAATCTAAAATTTATTCGAATTTAATATATATTTAATATTTAAATTTAATTCTGAGCATTAAGATTCTTAATCGATTTTCAATTTTTTTTATAATCCTTATTTTTTACAAATTTTATTTGGTAATTTTAGTGTCTTAATTAAGAGTCAAAATTCTGCATTAATTTTGGTCAATATGCTTTTTTTTCCTTGATGTTGTGGCACCCTAGCTTCAACCTTTTTTTGATCAAATTCTAATGAAATCTGATCGAATCCCAAATACTGCTGAGTTTACCATCGATGGTTCCTGCTCTTTCTCCTATTTGGAGAGACAAATGCAACTGTTGAACAATATTATTTAAGTTGATTTACATTGTGAATGCATATGGCCTACGTTACCAGATGGGTTATAGATGATGTTTTTCCTGAGATGACGAAGATGATGATGATGATTTTAATTATTATTATTATTATTATTATTATGAGCCTTTAGATTTGGGAGTCACTAGCATAATCAAGATGGAGATAGATATAATAAATGTTAAATACATCTTTAGCTTTTAAATTTTAAAATTTGTCATATTAGTAGTTAAAACTTTTTTTATCACATTAATATTTGAAATTTCAAATATGTTATCAATTGTACATCATACTAATATCGTTAGTTAATTTTGTTGACGTAGTAAGATATTGATACATAAAAAAAAATTTAATTAACATCATACCATCATTGCTATGTTAGTATAAAAAAGAAAAAACTTTTAAAACATTCTAAATTTTTTTTTAAAATTATAAAAATTTCAAAAAAATTTAAAATGTTAAAAAAAATTCAAAAATTCAAAAAAAGTTTAAGAAATTCTAAAATTTTTTAAAGAATTCTAAATAATTTTCAAAATTTTAAAATAATTTCAAAAATTTTTAGAAAATTCAAAACAAATTATTTAATCATTTTTAGTATTTTTTATAATTTTTTTAAATTAAAATTTTTTTATAAATTTTAAAAATTTTAAGAAATTTTTTCAGAATTTTTTAAAGTTATTTCGATTTTTTTTAATTTTTTTTTGAAGTTTTAAAAATTTTAAAAATTTTTAGAATTTTAAAAAAAGTTCAAAAAATTTTTAGAACTTTAAAAAAATTTTAGAATTTTAAAAAAATTTTAATAGTTTTTTAAATTTGTTTGAATTTTTTAAAAATTTTATAATTTTTTGAAATTAAAATTTTTTTATAAAATTTAAAATTTTTTAAATATTTTAGAATGTTTTTGAGAATTTTTTGAGAATTTTTTAAAAATTTTTTAAAATTGTTTTGAAATTTTTAAAATTTTTAGAATTTTTAAAAAATTAAAAAAAATTTAGAATTTTAAAAAAAAATTCTTTAGATACCAATATGACAAAAATTTTAAAGTTTAGGGGCTAAATATATATATATATATATAACCCATAATAATAATTAGTTGAAAATACTGTTTGATAAATTAAAAAATAAAAATTAACTATTGAATTTTTTATAAATTGAAATTGAATTGTTAACACTCTTCATTGGACGAGTGAATATTATAATACTTTCAACAGCTTTAGGACCGAATATTGTTAAGTGAAAGTTTCAAGATTGAAATGATAAAAAAAAAAAAAAAAACGACCGTTTCCGGACTAAAATTATAATGAGTTTATTTTTTAAAATGGGTAACGAATTTATGTTTAATATATTATTAGTGTATAAATTTTATATATTATTAATAAATCAGATAATAATATTCAAACATAAAATTTTATAAATATTTAAAGCAAATACACAAATTTAATTTTTTTAAAAATATATTTTTATTAATAAAATATCATTATCCGATTTATTAATAATATATAAATTATTATATAAAATATATATATTAATAACATATCAAATATAAACTCAGCTATAATTGCAGTGCATACATAGCTTGTTGTCTAATTCTTTTTTTAATCCCAATCAGGTTAGTTAGCTAAGGGCATCTTATCATGGAGTGAAAGAAGAAATGTTATTTATTCCGATGGCAACAACACTCCTTATAAAGTTTCATTTCATACTTGTGAAAAATCTATGCAAAAGACATTTTAGTGTTGTCTGATTCTTATAGAAGAGTCTTATTTGGACAAACACTTACACATACTTGTTCATTTCTTTTTCTTTTCATTTTACTGTTTTATTTTTTCAATGAGTACACTTTGAAGGAATTAATAATGGTTAAAGTGGTGCAATCGGATATTTATTAAATAATAATTTTTTTATGATTTATGTTCAAGTTTGGATTTTACATTAAATGTTTAACATAATATTAAAATTTATATACTATTATGTTGTTATTATCTATTATTCATATTTGTTATTATTTTCAAATTTGTTACATATTAATTTTTTTCATTTAAACGTATTAAAAATATATTAAAATAATATTATTTTATATTTATTAAATATGAAAATTTTTAATCTTATATTCAAATCCAGAACCTTCATCTAGATTTTAATTGGGATGACTAACCATAGCGATGCTTAGAATTTTCTATTTCAGTATACTGATCTTTAAACCGAGTTGAACACAAGACCAACATGTGCAAGTACTTGCGTGGAAATATCACGAGTGAATGAGGAAGCGTCGGCCTTTGCTGAAAGCCAGAAAAGTCATTAGTGCTTGGATTCTAAGTTCCTCTCCCCCTTTCCATGTGATGGGCGTTGCCCTACTTTGAAAAAAAAAAAAAGAAAGCAAGAAAAGTCATTCTTTGCATATTGTTTCCTACCAAAAGAGGACGAGAACACGGAAAAAACGCAAGAAAATAAATCAAACCCAAAAAGATCATAAAAATGGACTAAGTCATTAGAATTGGAAGTCTGCTTCTCCTGCTTCTAAAGACTTGTACAATTCTACCTTCTCTGCAAGGTAATTTACAAAGTCGTGAGAATTGGAAAGCTAATGTTCTCAATGTTGGGTGTATATATATAAGAAAATTGTAAAAGCACAAGCACAAGCTTTTGTTCAAGCAGGCAATGGCTAGTTCTTCTAAAGTTTTCCCATTTTTAGGAGTTTGTTTTCTTCTATTGCTCCCCTCCATTATTCAATCAAAGCCTTTAAAGAATCCATTTGGGTTCATCCAACATCTTGAGGGATGCCATAAGGGTCAAACTGTTAAAGGGCTCCAAGATCTCAAACGATATCTTGAGAAATTTGGTTACTTGAATTATGATCAGGTAATCAACAAAGGCAAGAAGAATCATGCAACTGACGATCAGTTCGATGACTTGTTGGAGTCTGCTATCAAAACGTACCAGCGGAGGCATCATTTGAAAGCTACCGGAGGTCTAGACGCTAAAACGGTGAATCAAATGATGAAGCCTAGATGTGGTGTGCCAGACATCGTCAATGGCACCAGTCGCCAGCATAATCGCAAGTCTATGTCTATCCACACAGTTGGTCGCTATCGATTTTTCCCTGGAAGTCCTAGATGGCCACCAACCCAAACTCATTTAAGATACCGTTTTCTTTCTGGTGTTCAAGTCCCTGGCACAGAGAACTTAAGGTCTATTTGCGCTCAGGCTTTCCAGAGATGGGCTCAAGTTAGCCATTTTACATTCGAGGAAGTGACAGATAATGCTGTTGCTGAGATTGAGATTGGGTTCCACGGTACTCAAGGACGAGATGGAAATGATCGTGGATTTGATGGTCCTTTGGGGACCGTGGCTCATGCAACTTCACCACCAGGGGGAAGATTCCACTATGATGTAGATGAGAATTGGAGTAGCAATCCAGGACCTTCAGAAGTGGACTTGGAATCGATTGCAGTGCATGAAATTGGACACCTTCTGGGGCTTCATCACAGTGAAGTTCCTGAGGCTATCATGTTTGATACTTACGAAGTTGGGACTACAAAGAGAGATTTACATGCAGATGATATTCAAGGCATCCGTACTTTATATGGGTTACAGTGAGTTAGTGACTCAGGAACATTGATGCAACCGGCGGTCCTCATCAACAATCTATTGAGAGCAAGAAAATGAGGACTGATGGAAATCCCCATTTTCTTGGAAACAAACAATTATTAATTACCTATTTCTCTTTTAATCCATTCCTATAATATATACAATAATATGAAATTTTCTTGATATAATAAAACTCAAAATTAATCTTGGACTAATAATGTATGAAATTGGGAAAAAAAAATGGATAGATATGTCTTTTTTATTTTTTTTCATTAAGCGGCAAAAGAAAAGAGGTCTGAGTTTGGTCCTGTGCATTCTCATTTGGAGTCAATCCAAGCAGGATAGGATTCAAATAGATGTACGAATTTAGCAATTGAGCCAACCCCTAAACATGATTGGTGCTTTCTGGCTCGTTAAATTGTTAGATGGTGCTCTCAACTCCCATGCAAGCAACCACAGTCAGCAACTTCATCTGACCTTTACCTCCCCAATGGCGTATCCCGACTCAGTCAAAACACGGTCACTCCCTCCATTTGAGTGATATTCTCGAGTCAAAATAGACTTTCTGGTTCCTCCATTTTAGTGATCTTCTTCTACCTGCTGACGGGTTCAACCTTAAAACCTTCACATTGCAGGCAATCTCTCTCCCTTGGGCCTCCATTTCCTCTGTAATGGAACACCTGATGGGCTTATCTATGCGAAAACGGGAAACCATTTTTTTTTACACAGGAATTCGCAATATGAAGATAAGCGAAGGGGGTTTTAGATTTTGAGATTCGGATATTAAATTTATTGAATATTATTATTTTAAAAATAGTTATATGAACAGTAAGAGTTAACTTAAAATTGTTAATTTTCTTTATACCGAGTAAAAAACTGATTTTTTATTCAAATGAATATAGAAATGGTTATTAAATTTTAAGATGAAAATGAAAATAAATATGAATTTAAAATTTTTATTGAGTATAAAGACAAAAATTGTGACAGAAACAAGTAATATAATATTCGTTCATACTCGTAATTGTATCCTATATATATTTAATAAATAAAATTTTATTAAATAATATATATTTTTTATTTTAAATTAATGAAAATTAATATATTTTATTTAAAAACATATATTATTATATATTTATAAAAATTATATAAATGTGTAAAAACAAAAATAAATAACCAAAAAAATTTTAGTTTTTAATTTTTTAAAAAATTCCACCCATTAAATGCTCACAAAAATAAAAATAAATTTAAAATACTCATTAAATATAAATACAAATATAAATATAATATAAAAATCCAAAATTAAAAATTGAAAATACTGCATCCACCTTATACCATACCCGTTAACATCCTTAAGTCTAGTTGAACAATTGGCTAATTTAGTACTCGTTTGGATGAGTGTTTAGAATCATTGAGACATGATTTCTCTCAAATTTTGTGTCAAATCGCACTGGTTCGTTGTTTGGATAACAATGGTGAAGGAAGATGGGCTTCGCTTATTCCCCGGAGCAAAAAGTTCCGGTCAAAAACTTCTTTTCTCATCGCAATACACATTTCAATTTTAGCCATGATATTTTTGTTTTTCCTTCTTACACCTTTATAGTTACAATTATTTTATGTGATTTAATTTTTACTTTTTTCATGATATTTTCTATTTAAAATTTTCAAAATAACTTATTAATTAAATATAATAAATATTTATTAATATTTTGATAATAAAAATAAATTTATAAATATCATAAATAATATTAAAAATATATATATAAATAATTTATGAATACATTTCTAAAGTAAAATCCTTAATTGTCATTTTTATTTTTATTCCACTGTAATCACTGTATTTACATCTAAATATATATTTTATTTTTAATTTTAAATTCATCATTATAATAATTAAATTTACCATTGCAATATTCAATTTCACTGTTATCATTGTTTTCAATTTTACCAAAATTAATTTTATTATTCATTCAAATAGTGAAATTGGATATTTGTGTTAAAAGCCCCTAAGCTTATATTTGAATATTAAAAAAAAAAAAGCAAGCAAAATTTATCTTATATTATTTTGTCTTTTGGCATATAAAAGAAATTTTCTTTTGGCAGGTAAAAGCAAAACTAGTTTTTTATTTTAGTTTTTCTAAATTCATAATTTTTTTATGATAGCTCATAAAATTTTTATTATAATTATATTGCTTTAAGTTTTTATGAAAAATGTTTTTTTCCTTTTTTTTTTTTAGTTAATAGATAGATATTTCATATTAAAAAATCAATATTGGAACAATTACTCAAGAATTAATTGTTTGTAGAGTGACGAGGAGAAGGTAATAGAATCTTTGAAGTTTTAGGTTCAAATTTCAATACGTGTCAGTTTGATTTAATTTTATGTTAAATTTTTATAATTATGTTATAAGTTGTTGGTTAATTTATTTGATTATTTAGTGATTTTTATATAAATATAATATTTTATTATAATTGTAATTTATATTTATATTTATAATTTTATAAAAGAATAACTATATGCTATATAGAAAATACAAATATTTGAAACAAATTGGTAGGACAGATATTACTACTCTTTTCCAAAACTCAAAATATCTTATCCCATCAACTTCATTAAACTCACAACTAAATAAAAAATATTAATTTGTTATGCAATTTATAAAAATTGATAAAGACAAAAACATATATTAAAAAATTGTGGTATTTATAAATTTGATTTTTTTCATTAAAAACATTACACTTTCATTAGTATGTTGATTATGCCTACGTAAATATATTGAATTAATTGAAATAAAATAAAATTTTGATCGAATTGAAGGATCAATCCAATTATCCGCCTGCAATGGGGCCATCGTCTTTGGATATGTATCAAATGAATTACTAATGGTTGAGAAAAAAGAAAACGTCTTTGGATATTGTTTTATGGAAAATTATTTCATCAATAGAAACTAGCTAGCTAATGACAAATTTTGAGTAATATATGCATAGAAAGCTAATGAGACAAGGATTCAAATCATATAAATTTCATGGCAGAGAGCATTGCAATCAAAGTTTCAGTTTTTACAATTTGACTGATTTTTTTCTCTAATCATAAGTGCTTTTAATACCAAAATTTATCATAATTTTAATTGACTACATATTCATGTAAAAATTTTAGCTTGAAACATGTATTTAAATTTTCACCATTAAAAGTTTTTTTTTAAGTTATTAAAAAAATATTCTAACATGCCAAACATTTATATAAGCAAATTTAGAGGTGAAAACTAGAATACTATAGCCTGGTAGTACTACAAGAAATCAACAGGTTTAGGATTACTTACTCCAAGGCTAATCTGAATATTCTCAAGATCAATTTATCGATGTTTACTTCATGATCCTTTGAGGATTTACATATTGATTAATTATTTGACAGCTTCTTTATCCTTCTAATCTATAAAACAGTTACAAGAATTATTCACAAATTGACACTCCAAATCTTAAGATTCTTGGTGGATACTCAAAGATGGGCATGAGAGAGTAATTGTCATCAAAAAATTGTTCATAAATTTGAATTAATTATCATCCAAAAATTATTGTAAAATCCATATTATAAATATATTTTTTCCATTTTATGATCAAATGCATTAAATATCTATATTTAAAACTTTAACAATTATATCTCTCATTTCACGAGTTTTTTCCCAAAGTAATGTACTTTAGAATCTTATTATCTTAGTTAGAGTACTATTAAACTTTATTCCCAAAAGCAGGTATTGTTGTACATGTAGATTACACGTCAGCTTAATTTCACGTTGCTCTTCTTTCTCCAATCCTCCCCTTCTCTAACTCCTTGCAACTCTGGTTAACTCAAAAAGACATTGGCTAGAGATGAAAAAAGTCTCCAAAAATAAAATACTGAAAAAGAAAACCGAAAAAAAAATGAATACAAAATAATCAAGGTATTATAACGTGATCTTGAATATTTTGCTGCTGTCCTTGCAAACCCAGCAACTCCTATAAGAATGGATAATTCTCCTTCGCAATAAAAAGATATCTCAAGAAGTTTCAAGTAAAAAAACTGCTTATTGGATAGGATCTTTTTGATTACAAGACTTTTTGGATGGTAATGAAAGTATGATATCAGTATTCACCAAATTATTTGTCCATTACCTCCAATCAGAAAAGTGCTTTTCAAATTTTATTCTATAAACTTTCCCTTGTCTTAAATTGTTTTCATTCTTTTATTTTGTTTAATTTTTTGGTTCTAGTTTTGAATTTGCTCTTTCTCTCTTAATTTTTTGTTTGTGGGTTTTTGTATCAATAAATTTCTTATATTTTGCTGGTTTTTTGTGAGCCATGAGAACATTTCCTTTCCTTACCTCTTCTCCACATCTCTCTTCAAATTTAGTTTTCGATTTTAGATTAAGGATTACAAAAGAACAGCTAACTGATGGAGAAGAAGCTAATCAAGCAACATGTAATGGTTAGAAGTGGTAAAGTAAATAGGATAAAAAAGAGTTGCGGTTTGGCTAGCAAATATCCCATTCAATCCAAAAGGGAGATGTGCATTGCCGGTACTGGGTTTCAAAGCCCGCATCTTCCTTCATTTCATCTTGGGCAAAAATGGCATCTTGCCCCACCTTGACTAAGTGCTTAAAGTTCTAGGATTTTGAGATTTTCTAGTTCCTTTGATTTCTCTTTAGAGTTCTTAAAAATTGTTCTCTGTTAATTGTGAAATATTTGATTACGTTTTTTTATTGAAAAAAAAAAAAAAAAACTAACGGAGAAGTATAGTAAACCTTTTCCAATTAAATATTTTACAAAATTTTAATTAATTAAAATTTTTTGGTCTGACATGGAATCCACATTTACAAAATACCTCATTTTAGGAATCAAATCTAAAACTACTTCAATTTGATAAAATAAGATTAATGAGTGCATTAGTCAAGGAAAATACTTCTCATTTCACTATTATAAATAGATGCTCAAGTGTCAATGATTTTCAATGTAGTTTGTAGGTTCTCTAACATTTTGCGTATCCGTAATTTTACTTTCTTTTTTTTTTTTTTTTGAATTTGTGTTTTATTATTTTTTTTAAAGATTAAATTCCCATTGAATAAAAAAAATGAACATTATATTCTTTCCGGTTTACACCATTGCAATTTTACTTGGTTCAAACTTCATTCTTTTTTTTTTTTGTTTTATATTATCATATCTCTTCTTAATATTTCAATTGATTAATGTTACAAATGATTCATAAATTATAATAAAATGCTTAATATGATATTGAATTTTAAAATATTTTAATATGATATATGAACTATAATTAAATTTATGAATTAATATAATATTTAAAGGATTTTTGTATGCCATTTGTCATCATTTGGAGCTAGTCACGTTAGGTGAAAGTACCACATTAATTAATAAATTTATAATTCAAAAATCACATTAAACAATTTTAAAATTTAAGTACTATATTAAATATTTTACTATATTTTAAGAGTCATTCATCACCTTAACCATATTTTTATAGCAATGGTTTATTTATCATTTATTTTAGACAATGCACTTACATATATTTCTATATGTTAACTTACAATTGAGTTTGTAATTAATTTTTCCTTTTTAAGGTTGAGATTTAGTGTTTAGCCATATAAAATTGTCTTTAGTTTACAATTGTAAAAAAACCTTAACATGTTAAAAAAGCTGTTTATTGAATTTTTTTTTTTTTTCATGTTGTCTAATGTGGTAATAAGAGATTGATCATACTCTAACAAAATTTTATAGTATAAAACTAAAGGATTCATTGACTCTATTATGATAAGTGGTAGCTGTGCGTCCTTTCTTTATAGGCTTGATTTTTATTTTTTAATTCTTTTCCATTTTATTACCTCTTCTCTCCTTTATTTCGATAGCGATATGTGATTTTTTGTCATAAAAATTATGTCATTGCCTTTATTAAGTAATTAATAATTTTCTTTATTTTTCTTATTAAAAATAAAAAAGTAATCTCAATTGATTCTTTGATTTTTAAAAGTATTTTTTTCCAATATTTGTTGTTTAGAGTATGTTTCGATTTTTCTTTCAATTGAATCCCATAATTTTGTCCATGATTACAATGTTCATCTTGGTCTATTCAATGGCTGTAATTTTGGTTTTAATTTTGAAAATTTTCTTCTTATTTGCTCAAATGACATTTTTATTTTAATAATTAAAATATCATGTCATAACATATAAATCCGTGAACCTATCGTTAGACATAGATTAGAGGAGTCGTCACCAATTTTTTTTATTAAGGTGTGATTGGTTACCTGATCGAATCTGATCCACGAAATCAAATTTAAGTTTGGGAGTATGATTACATGTGAGAAAAGTTATAACACCCTTACAACGCCCATCCAAGGATGATACCAGTTTGATTTCAAATTATCCAAGCCTTAAAAAATGTTTATGTTTTTACCAAAATATTAAATATTAAAAATTAGTCTTAAAATTATCCCAATAGTTTGGTAATAATTTAAGATAATTCTTTCACTTCAAAA